GCCTGTCTGCCTAGGTCTGCGCTTGGGCCCCACATGCAAAGACTTGAGTTGCAACACACTTCAGTTCACGGTGACTGCACTGTCGCCCCTCGGACGCATAGTGAAGTGACCACTGCAACCGGTGTTAGTGCGTTAACTCAGTTATGCTTAGTGAGAAACGCTATAAGATTCCGTGAGGTCACCGTTTTGTGCCTTTGGGTCCGCGCGCGCGCGCGCCTCCGACGGCCGTTTTTAGAGCCCAAAAGGGCGCGCGCGCGCGCGCGCGCGGACCCAAGCTTCCAAAAATGGTGACCTTCACGGATCTTGATAAGGAACGCATGGAATGAATCCTAGGAGTCGGCACACAGGCATTTTTTCTCTCTTCGAAGGGAGTTGCACACATCATGAGACATGTTCCCAGCCGCGCCAAAACCTGCTGCATCCAGTACACACTATGGACTTGTTGCCCCTCAGATCACGGTCCTCTGCTGGTCTAAAGTTGCGACTAACCATTCGACCACAACCCAAAACGTCCGTGACTGGTGGTGGCTTCCGGACATGCAGGATCGAAGAGAGGCGATGCACCACACACGTGTTCACATCAATGTCCATAGGATTCGCCCTGGGAAGGCGTGGATCAGCATCTAGTTCTTCACCTGTTGATGCCATACACGAGTCATCCGAATGATCGCTACTCGAAGCCGAAATGGTGCCTTCCTGCGGCTCATCCTGCTCCCTTTCAATCTGCGCAGCGAGGTCAAACAGCCTGACCACCCTTGGCAAGTCCGGCTGGAAGTAGCCTGCCCGCATCCTGGCCAACATGTTGTGCACCTTGACAGCGAGCGCGATCTGGTTGTCCCTGGAATAAATCATGGAGGAACGATGTGCCTTTGAGACATGGTGACCGAGTGCTGTCAACTCTTCTGGCGAAAACGTCAGTGACTTGGCTGCCCATGATATCAGTGTGGCCTTCAAGCCATGAATTGTGAGTTTGGCCGCTCTATCAAAGCCTGATGTGGGGGCCAAAAGCTCCCTCAGCCAGGAGGAGGCCTCTGCCGATGTCATTCGGTGTTCTGTCCACACTCCCGCCGTTTCAGACCACGATGGAAGAAAGGGGGGGCCGTTCAGCCCTTCCGACTCCCGTGCAGCCATCCATGGCTCAGCCCACGCCTTGATGTTGAAGGCCCGGCCCAGCGCTGTGAAAGGCAGCAACTCGGTCTGCATCTGCTTTGTGGTGGAGGTCTTGCGTTTACTCGTCTCTGCTTCAATCAGCCACACCCCTTGTAGTTTGACACAGCAGTGGAACATACATACATGGAGTCATGCCAGCGTGCTGCAGCAAAAATACAGAATAAGAAGTGGCCTGCTAAAATAACATGTTGCGGGTTGTCCGAGGTCAGTGCGATGTCCTCGAGCTCCGTCACCTCCTGTTGAGTCAGCACTTCTGCAGGCTTTCGAATCCTCTTGGCCACGTATTGGACGTGAGCTGAACCTTTGACCCGGGCACTCAAAACTTCCGTCACCTTGGTCACTGCAAATCCCAAAAGGCCATTGAAGAACTGCAGCGCTTCTAGGAAGTGAGACGCTGTGGTAGGGCTCGCTCCAGACTCCTTGAGGAAGCTAACATACCTATAGACCACAGGTTCAGGCTGAATGAACGGCGACCCCAAAAATTGCTTATGGAGCCATTGAGCGAACCTCCACATTGCGTTCGTTCGTTTGAGGATCGTGCCAGTGCTCTTAGGCCCAAACACATCTGAGATGGAATTGACAATTTCGGTGTCTGTGACTAAAGAACCTGCAAATGTAATGAGAGACCTGCCCACATTTGTTGCATTGCTGTCCATGAGTATCATAGTTGAGACTCTGTCCAATGACTTCCGCCGCACGTCATCATCAGTCTTGTTCAGTCTCATCTGTCGGACCCTCTGGTGGGCAAAGGTCGTTGAGCTACTCGGCAGCGCTGGTTCCTTAGCAACACGTGAAGTCGATGTCAATGTTTCCATGGCCCCAATGGACGGCAGGCCAAACTTCGAACTTTGTTTAGCCCAGGCGAGCTTGGAGTCAAAGATGCCGGCCAAGGGCCCTCTCTCCCAAGGTTGCTTGAGGTTGCTGAGTCCCTGTCTGACGTGGGCTTGAGCTTGTTCTCTAGCAAAGCGATCCAGCCATCCAAGATCTTCTCGAGCTGCCTGGTCCGCCTTTTGAGTTGGAAGCGAGTGCAAAGCTGGCCACTTGGCCGGAGGGACTTCGATCTCCAGCTCTCCCCCCATTGTCAGGTCTTCGTCCTCAGCCCCCATTTCAGCATCCACGAAGGGCTCACCTTCCAGCTCTTCATCAGAAGTTTGCCGTTGCGGTGATGAGGCGGGTGACGTGCGAGCTGCAGCATCTCTGGCCCACCTCTGTCTCAATCCCCTTGGTGCGCCCTGCATCGATGATGTCGATGGATACGTTTAGCCCTTGTGCAATGAGATTGACACCCCAAGATGGCACAACTGTACGAACACTGAAACGGAGTGATGGGAACTTGCTGATTTGATGGTGCAGCTTCAGCAGCTGCTTGGTAACCCTCACTCGGAGCCGATGCTTCCGGGGTCGAAGGATGGTGTGCTCTCCTTGCGACCTCAGAAACCACTGCTTGCAAGATTGAAATGAGCTCACTCAAGGTCAAGCGTGGTAGATCCTGAAGGCAGAAACCACGATGGATGTCCATGCCCCCCGATCGGCCGAAGCTCCGACAAAAAGGGTTTTTTAACCCACCCACCTCCCTT